CCAGGCGCAGGAGGCCGGCCATCGAGAACAGGCTACGAAAATCCGAGTCCCGGGTGGATGCGTTGTGTAAGGAATACGACCAACTGAAGATCAATGCGTCGCGGGTCAAGCTGGACGCGTTGACGCAGAACGAGCATGCATTCGGGTTGATCGCAGAGCGCGAGCGAGAGCTCGATCGCCTCCGTACGAGTCAAATGACAGAGGTAGCTTCACTTTCAGCGGCCCGCCGCTTTTGCCTCAACGCTCGCTTTCCAACAGATCGCGCAACGCGACGAAGAGATCTCGCAGCTCAAGAAGACGCGCGAGCAACTCCTGCGTCAACTTGAAGCTGAGCGAGTTGCCGCGCGGCGCAATGGTCCGCGTGCGCAGGAAGACGTCGAAATGATGGTTGAGGTGTGCACACGCGACGCTCGTCCCTACAACGTTCACGTGCTGAGAGTTCACTTTCTGCAACGGTTCCATAGGCTGACGCGGACACAGAGGACCAGGATGTCTCCATGGACAATCATGCGGAAGCCTCTTCCCAGTCGCTCGAAGACGTACTTGCTCAGGTAAGGTGGCGTCTTGCTGAGATTTGAGAGTGCGTCGCTGATAGTGCCGTTCGCGTTGCTTCAGCTTCGACGGTGCCAACGCCAATGTGCGCGGCTGAAGCAGCAGTTGAACACTGCGAGTGGCCCTAGTCGGGTTGCGAAGAAGGTGAGGGCGGCCCCGCCATCTTACACGCCCGTTGGAACTGACATTGGAACAAGACGCCTCCCTCCGCTGCCCCTCCACGGCGGTCGGAATTTTCACCCCAAAACCAAGCGAGCCAGACGTCATCTCCGGCTGATCCCCCGCGACCCAGTTCCAGCCGCGCACGTATCGCGTCTTGGGGCAGTGCATATTTCGCTAGGTCCAAGCAGCATCCTCTCGCTCGCGCGAAAGTGCTAGAGTGTCTGCCAGGACCTGTGGCGGGCATGACTCGAGCCGCGCTCCTCCGGTGGCAGATTAGCCCGGCAATCTTTACGAGACAATCGCTGAACGCGATCCTGGGGGGTGGCACGGGCACGTTCGCCAGGTGAGCGGTCAATTTCTGTGCTGGTAACCTCACTGACAGAAATTGCCGTCCCTCCCTCGAAGACGCACCCGGAGCGCCACGGACTCCGCGAGAAACTACGGGATCCGCGATACGGAGGGCTACGCATGCCTGAGCACGGACTTTCAGCCGTGGCTGCCACAAGAGCCGGGTCAATACGGGTACATGCTGCACGTCCGCGACCAGCCGGGCTGCACCCCCGAGAGCTACTCTTCGGAAGAGTATCACCACGTGTTCATCGGCACAGGAGATCTGTACAGGTACTATGGCCGCTACCGGTTTGAACCCGTCGAGCCTCTCTCGTGCGTCGAGTGGAGCCGGCTCGATGTGCAGGTGCGTCCTACCCACGCAGAATGTGTGCGGCGCAAGACGGACAGAGGTTGACGGTTGCGGTGCCATCGGACAGACGAGGACTGCATATGCCGACCTGGCGCGATCGGCAGACCAGCACTCGAGGGGTACGATGAGGCCCAGGGCAGCGACGTTGAAAACGTACGACCGCGGTACATGCCGCTTGCAGTGCCTGCTGCTCCGATGCGTCGGGTTCCAAAGCGATCTCTACGACAAGCTGCTGAAGGAGGGAAAAGAACTCTAGCCGTATGACCCTCTGCGGACGCCCCAGCCGGGATTGAGGCTGACAAGGACATCTTGGTGGCAGTTGGGTATAACAGCAATGAATGGACACTTGTGCATCCGAGTTGTCTGACTCTACGAACTTTCTGGGCCGATGGGTCCATGTGACTTTCCAGCATCACGTACAATCCCAAGAGCTCACAACCTGAGCGGCTGGGTGGGGGCTGAATGAACAGGTCAGGTGTTAATCTCCTGACTCACCTTGGAGACTACCGCTGAACGTTGAACGTCGAACTGGGCCATGCTGGATGTCTAAGTCATGTGCAAGTGCGATTGGTCACTTGACGTGTTGTGCACCATCCTACCGGTGATCCCGCGACCAAGCTTCACAGTACGATGCATCCAATCATTATATTCGATTTCACGGCTTGAAGGGCCTCTCGGCGGCGGAGACTACATCCTATGTTGGCAGGCGGAGTAAGTTTTCGATGCTATAGGTAGTATACACGACGTGCACCAGAGCTCCCCGCCGATCTACACAAATGGCACAAACGATGAGTACGCTGTATGAATTTAGGACAAACCGTAGGAGAGGTACCCGTCACTGCTTGGGAGTCTGCCACTTGCCGTATAATCCACTGAACTTGAATTCGCCCGTCTCGGACCAGTGCACAGTGACCTGACTGCTGGTGATATACAGCGTCGCATATCTGGAAAGCCATGGCACCCGATTATAAACTTCATCTGATCGTAACGTGAGGACAGGGGAGCACGTACCTCACAGAGCGCTCGAGCTGCCCGATGATCTTCTGGAACTCCTCGGTGTCGAACTTCCTGGCCCTGAATTTCGGAGGACCGCCAAGACCGAGGAGCGCACCAAAGACTTCGGGGTCGGGGCAGAAACCGTCGTAGGACCACTTCGATCTACCCTCTCTGCAGGTGGGTTTCCACTGGATATATGCGCGTCAAACCGTGATTCGAACCGCATATATCCACAACTGAGCCTACGCACACCCATCTGCTTGATGATGCCGCTCTGCGCAGCACGTCGTATTTTCTCGGCTTCGTCCTTGATCTGGGCCTGCGACTTCGCGCCGGGTCTGGCGACCTGGTCGGCGGGAATGGTGCTGCTGGTGCTCGGAGGCGCTGGTAGGGTGGCAGGTCCAGCGGAGATCTGCTGCTCGAGAGTGCGTGCGTAGGTAGCCAGCTCTACTAGGGAGTTCCGCGCGGCTTCCTCGCTCGCAGAGATGGGGTAGGCCTTCGGGTTGGCTAAAATCGAGTGGACGAGGAGCGCGGCACCGGTGCGGACGAGGTCGGTAGAGGGGCACGCCTTCTTCCCGGCGGGTGCATTTCCGTCATTCGGAGATTTGCGCTTCGTGCCGAGAGACTTCGGGGCCATGGCTGGTGTCGACGAGGGTGTGTACAAACGGGTCTGAGCTGCATAGCCTCGGACGCACGGCCTTATATACTGCGGGCGTGCTAGGCCTGTTGCTCCATGACGTTGCCGCACTGAACGTCAGAGTAGAGAAGTAGCAGGCTGCGTCACGGAAGCGTCCTCGCTGATCGAGATTGACGATCGACCCCTTCGCAGTAGAGGACCCTGCAGTAACCGTTCTGTAGGAGATTGCTAGTTTCTTTTCGGTCTTGCGTGGACGTCAGATGAGAGGGTGTGCAACGCAGTCAGCGTCACCTCGATGTCCTACAGGAGATTTCCTGCCAGCCAAGGATACATGACATATCTGGGACAGATCGGGCACCGTCTGTCCATCGTAGAGCTCCGATAGTCGACATAGCAGAATCCAGTCAGAAGGCCAGGTTTGCAGGATCACTTCACAAAGAGCTAGAGACCGATCCGCAGGTGCTGGGAACTCGGAGGGGCAAGACGCGTGTAGTCACATTAGGAAACGCGTAGCGTCACAGAAGCACAGCAGCAAGATAAGATGAGATGCGCACCGAATCCACCGATAGATCGAGATTGCGTCGGGATCGACCCAGAGTCTCCGTTCGCCGCAATCGATCCAGCTTTCTCCTCGACAGCTCCGTTCCTCCTCCTACCATCCACTCCCCCCACAAACAATCAGGCAAAATGGCACGCAAATTCTTCGTTGGCGGCAACTTCAAGATGAACCCGACCTCGCGGGAGCAGAAGAGGACCCTCGTCAAGGTACTCAACGAGGCCGACATCGACCCCAACGTTGGTACGTCCTTGGCCTAACATATGAGCCGCGATTGCATGCTCAGTAGGCGGACGCAGAGGTCGTGATTGCGCCCCCTTCGATCTACATCATCCCCTTGAAGGAAATCCTCCGCAACGACATTCAGGTCGCTGCCCAGAACTGCTACTCCAAGTCCTCCGGCGCGTACACTGGCGAGACTAGGCATGCACACCCTCTCCATCGCGCAGCGGTCTCCATGCTGACGATACTTCCGCGGCAGCCCGGCGCAGCTCGTCGACGCGGGCGTTCCCTACGTCATCCTTGGTGAGCCCTTCCCTCCATTTCCCTACTCGCTCGAGCCGCGTCTCGTCTGTCCCTCCCTAACGCTGCCCCTCCCCTCCCCAGGCCACTCCGAGCGCCGCACGCTCTTCCACGAGACCTCGGCCATAGTCGCCGAGAAGACGCGCGCCGCGATCGACGCCGGCCTGCGCGTCATCCTCTGCGTCGGCGAGACGCTCGAGGAGCGCGAGGCGGGGCGCACCAAGGCCGTCGTCGAGGCGCAGCTCAAGCCCGTCGTCGACATCCTCACCAAGGACGACTGGCCCAAGGTCGTGATCGCGTATGAGCCCGTCTGGGCGATCGGCACCGGCAAGGTCGCGAGCGCCGCGCAGGCGCAGGAGGCGCACGCGGACATCCGCGCGTTCCTCGCGAGCGCGGTCTCCCCCGAGGTCGCGGAGAACACGCGCATCATCTACGGCGGCTCGGTCTCGGCCGCGAACTGCAAGGAGCTAGGTGGGTCTCTGCTGGGACAGATGACTGCGGTCGTGCGCCCGGCTGATGCGTATGTCGTGTGTAGGCAGCCAGAAGGACGTCGACGGCTTCCTCGTCGGAGGCGCTTCGCTCAAGCCCGAGTTCGTCGACATCATCAACACGAAGAGGGCGTTGGGCCAGAAGTAGGCAGCCCGACCCTATCGTCTGGAGGCGCATCGTTGCTGAATGACGTAGGGCGTAGAAGAGGAAAAGCAGTATATCGCTTCAGGGGAGAGTAACAAACACTGTATACTACTTTCAGCACTACGCAGGAGAGCTATGTAGCGACTTTAGGCTATTAGGGAGCTGCATTCCATTATCTGTACCATGCATACAGTATATAAGAATGCAGTAATGAGAAGGGCCAGGAAGCATACGCTGGGCATGGCGAGATGGCCGAGTGGTCTAAGGCGCCAGACTAAGGTTGTCAAGCCGACATCTGGTCCTCACGGGCGTGGGTTCGAATCCCACTCTCGTCATCGGGAGAGCCTGCTGCAGACATTTTGTTTTCGGAATTTCCTTTTGCTTCCTTCGAAGTTCGAATTCTACAGTCTTCCCATGTCCGCCAGGATATCGCACATGCCAGCGCCGGAAACGACGCCTATGTGACGCTCCCGACAGCCTACTGCTAGTAGCCTCCCCTAGGCAGACGTTCCGATGTGCTCTATGACAGGGGGAGGGACGAGTAGGCCTACTGCAAAAAAAAAACCAATACGTTGCACCCTGTACTGCTCTGGTACGTTAGGTAAAAGCGTCGATGTTGTCGAGCATCGGTTCGAAGCTGCGCGAAAGTGAAGTGGCAGACGGCCCAAGTTAGGAGAAGAGGCGAAAGAGTTACTGTGACGACCCTGGATCGATCGACTCTTCCCAACTTCGAGCAGACCTGCACCGGTACATGTACACCTGCAGAGCGGGTCGCACAGCACGGCCACGGTTAAGGTCAAGTAGCTACAGAAGGGGACGATCGGACTATGCGTGTAGTCGGGACACCGTGCGCGGCGCGTTACATATCCAACTTTGTACCTACCGTACGTACGTAAGTAGACGTTGGCAGGTATACGGAGCTATAGATTGGTAGTCAATGATCAGAGGGAGGAACAGTACAGTAACTGCAAGATCTACAGAAAACATCGACGACGGGACAGGGCAGGGCATTGACGGTGAACGGGACAGAGCGGGAGATGGAGAGGTACAGTACTGTACTGGGGACAAAGGAGCGTATACAAGGTCGATGAGTCGGTCGACGGGCCGGGGTGGTACAACAATATCGCGAGTCGAGAGAGAGAGGAGGGAAGGAGAGGGATCGGGGGAACACTCGGGGGAAGGGCGAGGGTAGTGATGTGCTGGTGCTGATATGGGGAGTGGGCGGGGTCATATGAAGGAGGGCGGGGGAGAGGGAAGAGGGAGAGAGGGAAGAGGGAGAGAGGGAAGGGGGAAGGGGGAAGAGGGAAGAGGGAGAGAGGGAAGAGGATGGGAGGAGGAAGGGTAATGTAAAAACCAATAATACACCATAAATACCCAGCCTCGCGCCGGGCAGCAGCAGATCATCTCCACCTATTAGCGTACAACAGCAAACGCACCCGATCGTAAAATGACGAAAGCGCAAGCAGAAAGCGACGAGGAAAGGAGGCGAAAGCGACGAGAGGCGAGGACGGAGGAAAGGGGCGGCGAGTGCAGCTACAATGTCCGCAGATGCTTCTGCTTCGGGCTCTGGGCGCGCATCGCCCGCAGCTCGCGCATCTCCACCTCGCTCAGCACGCACCCGTGTCCGACCGAGATCGTCGTCATCCCCCACTCCCGCGAGCGCTCGTCCCTGCTCTCCTCCTCCTCCCCATACCCATACCCCTCGTCGTCCTCGCCCTCCCCGCCGCTCGTATACGCGAGTCGGGACGGATAGTGGCGCGAATGCGCGGGGTACGGCGTGGGGAGCGTGCTGAGCGACGCGTTCTCGGCGCGAATGTACCCGCGGACGTTGAGGCAGAGGCGGTTCGCCATCACGACGGAGAGCGCGACGGCGAACCCGATCGAGATCTCGACCTCGGAGTCGGGCCGCGTGAAGAAGATGATCGTGTTCGTGAGGTACGTCGCGAAGATGCTGCGCGCCCATCGAGTCAGCCAGCGGCCACCTCGCGCGAAGGAGGAGGGAGCAAGAGAGAGGGGGACGTACATGACGAAGTAGAACAGCGAGTCCCGGACGAGGATCTCGATGATGCGCTTCCCGCTCTGGAAGACCGTCGAGCCGGGGCTGTAGCTCTGGAAGCCGCGGAAGAGCGCGAGCCCGCAGAGCACGCTCTCGGACACGAGCATCGGGATCCAGAACGCGTAGAAGTGCGAGGGCAGGCCCGTCGGCACGCACACCGTCGACCCTGAGGGGAGCGTCACCGCCACGGCTACACAGGCGTATGAATGTTAGCATATGGATGGAGAGAGGGACGGGGAGGCGAAGGAGGGAGGATGGGACGTACAGGTGATGTGCGCGAGCGCGTCGCCCATGACGAACGCGGAGCTCGCCGCGGCGCCCAGACAGATTGTGAGCATGCACGCCAGCACGCGCTTGTCGCGGAAGTAGAGCGCATACAGGCGCAGCTGCAGGATGACTGCGAGGGCGAAACCAACGGGGTGAGTGAGGTGAGTGAGGAAGGGGTGAGGAGGGGGAGAAGGGGGAGAATGGGGAGAAGACGTACGTTCTGCGACGATGAAAGTAATGACGCCTGTCCAGCCTTGCCATCTGAACCAGGAGAGACAGCTAACGAAGCGAATGGGATGAGTGCCTGGAGAGTGGATTGTAGGAGGTCTAGGGAGGACTTACAACTGCGGAGACAAACGTCGTCAGTTAAATGAAGCATGCCCGAATTGCGGGATGTAGACTTACTGTGTCGGTGAGGACGTTGTTATTGAAAAGCGCTGGGGTGGACGTCAGGCTTTCTCTGACAGGCGGATCGGCGGGGGTACTGACCGTAGTTGTTGAAGCTGATCGACGTGTGACGTTAGCCGGGAGCGCGCACACGTGGACCTACGGGGCGACTTACATGACTATGCACAGGGCATAATATCGATTCTTCGACGCAGGGTTGATGAGATGGGGTGGTAGACGAGGAAGCTGGGAGGGACTCACCATCAGGAAGAGGACCTTTCCTAATGACCATGATGAATGCTAAATGCACGATGCGCATGAGCCAAACATTCTCTTCAGGCTCGTTGAGATGTCCATACCCATATGAGGTTGATCTAACAAGTGAACATTCAGTCGTACCAGGCACCTGCCTGCCAAAGACGTAGCGCAACTCACTTCCTGATCCAAGGTGATGACTGCACCAAGCAGGAGCACAAATCACACAGCACGTCAGCAAGGCGCATCCCACCTCGAAAACCAAGGGCACGGTGCTCACCGTGGTCGAAGAGGATGATGACGGTGCTGGCCACTGCGGATCTGTCAGTCAAGCGCTGCTCCTTCTCTCGCTTGCTCGCTACGTGCTACACTCACGTTCTGCATAGCGGGTCTTCTCGATCGTAGGGATGGCCTCGAGAAGGAGCGCCTCTGCGAAGGGATTGAGCTCCATGGGCCCTTGAGGGCGTCGTGAAGAGTCGTAAGAGACCAGCGGCGGCGAGCAAGGGCTCGGAGCAGAACGAGAAGGCGGTCAGCGGCAGAGAGGGACGGGGCCCGGAGGTTGGGAGGTCGCGTCAGAGAGCAGCTGCTGGTGCCAAGAGAGCGGGCGGGAGAGGGAGAGCTCCAGCCTCCGAGCGTTGGGGCGGCGTGCTGCGATTGGGCCGAGCGAAAACCGAAGGAGAGCGGGAAGCTGAAATTTTAGGCGGCTGACATGCCTTGCCTGGGAAGTGGAGACCGGAGCAGCTGACGGAGGGTGCAGGCAGAGGAGCGGACTGCAGACTCCAAAAGCGAACGCGGGTCGAGGGTTCTTATGCTGTGTCGCACAAGACGCGGCGTGCGTCTCGGGTAACATGACCGAGTGAGCGGGACGAGTCCGACTCCCTGCACAGTGCACTAGTCTCCGTTGCCGCCCCTTAAAGATATAGATGACAGTCGATCTATTTTCTATAAGGGTCTGCTCCTCTACGCGCTGTTTACCCGACCTTTGGGGACGGACTCTGCTTTTCGGCGCTAACACTGTTCGTGAACCAATGAGAGTGCTCGGACAGTCAGCAGACCTACGTGCTTTTGGCGCTAGAGTGTTTGGGAACCAATGAGAGTCTTCTCGCAGTCAGCAGACTTACGTGCAGGTCGGTCATGGGGATTTGTCACATCGAGGAGGGGTACAATCTGGAGACTGCAACGGAAATAGTACACCGGCAAAGACAGTCAGTCTACACTTTTGCGAGGCGAGGATACCGCTG